TCCCTCTAAATACTTGTCCTTGTCTTCGCCATTATGGCACCTCCATCCAATAAACTGAACTAGATGCCTCAGAATTATATTAACTCCTCCCTCTCCCTTGCCACCCACATTCAATTAATATGAGTCATGTATATTCTATCTTGTAAATAGCTTTGACTCCATTTCCTTCTCTCCAACTTTACCATCACTGCACTAATTTAGTTTCTCAGTAATTTTCAGCTTACAGTGAAAAAATGAATATATAACTTCATTCCTGATGGGGTAGGACTAAAAATGTTCTTTTCATAACAGTGAAATGACAACCCCTTGGGATTCATGAAGTGTATTCTTTCTTAAGAGCATAAAACATTTCTTATTATGTACTATCTATTCGACTCCCCCAAATTATTGTACAGCGGGGAAATATCGGCAGACAGCAGTGAAAAGTGTGTTGAATAGAAGCACATTGCTCTTTAGAGCAAACGGCTCTGGAGTCAAGCTGCCTGGGTTTGAATTCCAACTCCACCTTCCATCTGCAGGAGCTTAGGCAAATTGCTTGCCTTTCTAAACCACAATGTCCTTTTCTGTAAGATGTGGCTAGTAACAGTACTTTTCTCACAAGGTTACTTGTGGATTTAGTAAGAAAATCCACTTAAAGAGCTTAGTGCAATGCTGGCACATCGGAGGTGCTCAATCTTATCCATTAATCATATTAATTGTAACCTCAGATACAGGGAGGTCACACAGTTGACCTCAGGCAGAGCAAGGAATTCTATGAGTCCTAACCCTGTGTTCAATTCATTGCAATGCTTCTGCTCCTCCAAACAAGGAATTTTGCTCCCTTTCAGTCTTAGTGCTGCACATTAGAATCACCTGGGGAGCTTTACAAACTCTCGCCACCTGGACCCACCTCGAGAGCGTCTGACTTAATTGGGTAGGATGCAACCTGAGTGTTGGTATTGTAAAAGCTCTCCAGGTGTTTCTCATGTGCAGTCAAGGTCAAGGCACACTGGTCTCAGCGAGGCCTGGTACATGTGGATATCTGTCACAAGAGGCTGGAACAGGGGGTGCCTGTGGTAAGGTTTGGGGAGGAGAAGGGGCATGGCCACTGCACTCTAGAGACAATCAATGTACCTGCTAGAGACACAACAGAAGTGTCAAAAGAGCAAAGCATTAGCTACAGAAATTAGAAAACTAGTCAAGGTTCTGTTTGTTCTATGGCTGCAAAAATTGCCAAATTTTCATCGAGATACAAAATAAAAGCTAAAAAGAAATCCACTTTGACATTTTGGTATAATCCAACTGTTGATGACCCATCAATCCGACACCCCTCCTGCACCCTCTCCCACAACACTCCCCGTGAGATGGTAAGAAGCAAAACCCGAGGTAAGGTTTTGACACTTACCTGGTTGATATTGAAATTCTTGGCTTTGTTAAACCTTGTAGAACCCTTAAGCAACATTAGAAAAGGTGATTGGTTTAAGCTGCAGTCTCCCAGGGACACATCTCTCTTGGAAGATTTAGTGGTCAAATCTAGGACTGCGGGTTTCTGTGATAACCTGGAACAAGGGTAGAAAAGAAAGCCGCTGCCCAACTCTTGACAACTGAGGAAGATGCACTGGCAGGGAGAGACTGTTCCAAAAATACACAATCTTAGGTGCTTGAGAAACATTTTTTTTTTCTTTTTCTTTGTGAATAACCAGGATTGTGGCAAAGCCTGTACAGGTCTCTCTTTAGAATGGGTGTCATATAGAAATATGAAAGTATAATATGCATAGAGGAGAAACGTGGGACCTGGATGATTGAGAATGATGGTCCATGTAAGGAAACCCCAGAAGTGAGTTTTTGGAATAATTCATCTCGCTGCATTTGAGTAGGAAAGTCTCACAGATAAATCTATTTTATCTCATGAGTGTTATCTGAGACAGCAGGAGCCCACAAGCTCCTGACAGGCCACTTGACCAGAAGTTCATGACCAGTCCCTGGTCCTCCCTCTGCCCTGGGGAGGGTTTTGCCTCTTACCTAAAAACGATCATTTCCTATCAAAAAGGGAAGAACATTGAAACATTTGCATGCAAGCACCACGCTCTACGCTCTCTACCTTCTTTCTCAATGCTGTGCTTTCCTAGCACTGCACTTGTCCATGCAATTCCTTGGCCTTGAAAACTGGGAGAACTGATTAAATCTAATTGTGCAATCTTGATTAAAATGAAATAAAATTTCAGTGTGACTATTTTTCAGGGCCATAATCTGAAACTTAATTTTCATTAGATCCTTTCCAAGGTTATGTGACAAAGCTGCTCCTACAAAGGAAGGCTGGGCTCAGGTGTTTTTGTTGGTGGTGGTGGTTTGTTTTTAATGTGTGTATTGTGCCAAAAGAGTCATTTTTGAAAGTTTGTGGTAATCTGACTCCGCTAACAAACCAACGATGTGCCCTCTGCATCACCAGCCTGTTCTCTTTAGCCACACACTCAGAAAAGGGTACGCACCTCTGGACGAAAACATTGCTGATACAGCCCTCAAAATCACCCCCACCCAGACGCAGGGATTTCTGGGTATTTGAAAAGCCTTCTAGCCTTTCGTTATTTTCCAGAGGCTGGTCATCAACGAGGACCCGAAATCTGAAAGAGGAGGAAAGCAAAACAAGAGTGAGACGTACTGGGAAAAAAAGGTTGTCACTTTGTGGTCAACTTACTGTCTTCAATTCAGACTCAATGTTTTTTATGTAAGATAACTCATTAAACTAGATTTATTTTCAAAAAGCACTTAAACTTTTTTCCATGTATTTTTTACACAAATTTCTACTAAAGTATTCTGCACATACAGAAAGTGCACATGTCATAGGTGGACGTCTCAGTGAGATTTTGCAATGTGAATACACCAACATTACCAGCACCCAGATAAAGAAGAACTGACCAGCACCCCAGGAACCATGTCTTCCTGCATAGTTGTAGATGTTTTGTGATCATTCCTCTCATTTTATTTTCCCATTTTGTTTCTTTTCCATTTCTTTTTTTTTAAAAAAATATTCTCCCATTTTGAATATACCACAATTTATCTATCCATCCAATGTTAATTGATTTTTTAAATAAGGTAATGGGTATAGAATCAGGAAGAAGGCCAGAACTTACCAGTAAAATAATGTCAGCATCAAAGATAAATATTTCACAAGAAAAGATGCTAGAAATTTTCATTAAATTAAATAAAGTTCTTAGACTCTGACAGAAGTGCCATTCTACTCACCCAGACCTATCGTTTATTAAAGATACATAATGCAGTAAACCATCCATGTATGTCTGTGAAGATTTCAAGGGCGAGCTGACGCTATTCCTGATGCTGAGTTCAATGTGACCATCTTCCAGGGTGACCTGAAATCATCATGGAACATACCCATCAATGCAATTAATTTGCATTTAAGGATTATAAATGTATAATACTGAATTTACGATCAAAACTATGTATAACAGTCAGGATTTTTTGACCCAAATGTTTTGACTTTGCTATTTTGATCTAAAGATTATTTTTAAACATTTTAATGTCATGTTTATGAATATAAAAATCTTATGCAAATTATTTCAACACTGATGAGTTTATCAAAGCATTTTTACAGACCTACTTTCATAAACCAATTTAATTTCTCCATCAACTATACAAAACAATTAAACCCTTTCTAAATTTTTCTGTTTTTACTTTCATTCTTTCTGAAGTTATTTTCATAAGATCAATTCTTTTCTACAAAACTTTACAATGAAGACTAGATTTATCAATTTTTTCCATATGTGGTTATAATGACAATATCTTCTCTTCAGTAATTATGAATTTTTTAATTTTCTGGTCATAAATTCTAGGAAGTTCAATTTTCCAATGTCAAACTCTGCAGATACAAATTCTGGCAGAATGATTTGATTCTGTCAATTCTTAGTAAAAAATATGTGTAGTTTTAGAAGTTGTCATTTTCATTTTGTTGATGTTTTTTTCTATGGTTTAATTTTTGCAGTTTTTTGCAAGATGTAATTCTTCAGTGAGTTTTTAGTCTAAAACAATTTTGACAGTGTGTGGTTTTAGCCATTGTCAGTTTCATTTTATGTTGATTCTTTTTATTCAGTTGTCAATATTCATTGTGAATTAGATAAAAGAATGTTAATTGATATATATATCTTAGCTAACCAATTATGAAGTTGAGGGCAATGTTCCTAGCATATTTCTAGGATTCCTGCATTGCCCAGGATTGATCTCATCTTTTGCTAAGCCAATTCTTCCATCTGCTTTTGACCATTTTATATATTGTGTACTAAGTGTCCCTACGCTTGGCAGAGGAAACAAGTGTTGCGTGTCAAAAGAATGCATCAAAACATCCTGTTTTGACAGAAGAGCCACTCTCACAATCTAAATGTTAACATGTACTTGTTCAGCCTTAATTTTTGGAAAAAAATAAAATAGACTGATGAGCAAATATGTCAAGAGAGGAGAGGCCTTCTAATACGACATAGCCACAGAGTCAGCTACCATCCTTCCTTTCAACAAATACAAGATGTCTGTTGCGCGGGAAATTCTGAAGAAACAATTCCAAGAATGACAGTATGCTATATATTTTAAAATCCACTCGACCCACGAGGGGACTGCTAAGTGTTAGCTTACTTCTATGCCTACATAACCACTTCTAGCTAAAACCTCTTAAGTTATAGAGGATTTCTGCGGCTCTGTTGTACGTGAACAAAGAGCAAAGGACCTTCTCCTCTTCCATTCCCCTGATGTAAATATTGTCCAACTATTAAATATTAAATATTGTCAAGGACTCCATTGTCCAAGGACAAAATTTTGTCCTTGTTATTGTTGCAAAACAAGGGCTATCTTTTGTGGAAGCAAAAAGGAATAAAGGGGATACATTCTGATTTTTTTCTTAGATCTAAAACTTTAAGCTACATTATTACTTATAACAGTTATAATAACACCTTGACTCAAAAAATAAATCTAAAAAGAATGAAAATGAGGCCATGAATGGCCATGAATACCCACAAATTCAAATCTGTGTACTATAATGTGCTTTCTAGCCTGATTTCCTTCAGGTCCTACCCTGGGATGGGGAATAACTTCTATGAGTGAAATGTACAATGGCATTTACTGGGTAATGACAGATAAATTCCAAACTAATTTACATTCAAAATTTCTATATTGTTTCTGACACCAAACTTTGAGTCAGGTTTAAATCTTGTTCAATATTCATGCAATATTTCATACCTGTATCGGATGATTTAATAAAATGCCACTGGGTTGAAAAGTCTTAAATCCAAAGGAGACCTGGAAGTGGCTGGTCAATGACAAGTCCAAATTATTGAAACTCAATTGTCCTCCCCTGGAGAAGGAGGCAGACCGCACGAGCTGAAATGCAAATATGAAATAAATTACTGGCGTTGTAATAATTTCATGGCTGAAATACAGTAGATCATCCTATGTCATCTCATTTGAACTGATTAATGTGGCTTACGTTGCCTCAGGAAGAAATAAAAGTTTGCTTTGCTGAATGATTTTATCATTCGTCTGTATGTTTTTCTGTGTATAGTTGGTATTCCTTCTTTCTTACAAATTTAATACATAAGCCTGAAGAGGTTTTCAAGTAGGTGGAGATTGTGTATGAGCCAGTTCATGATAACACTGTGTGCTACCACAAAAAAAAGTCCAAAGTTGATGTGTTAACAAATACCAAAGATGGGTTGGTTGCGGTGCACTCCCCTGAAAGATTTTGAACTCTTCACTTACCTTCCAGTCTTCTGAGCACTTCTTTGTTACTCCCACAGTATCATTCAACCTAACGACACCACTAGTTTTCTTCAGATTTTTCATGCAGCCTCGGAAAGCAGGTGTAGAAATGTTAAATCTGATTTGGGATACGAGAAAGGAAAGAGATGTACCGGGTCAGGCTTGCCTGAGCATTGGAGCTGAAGAACTGCAGTCTCTACTACTTATCACCCATAAAACAAGTACATATTTTATGGTTATCTGTTCTGAAGAGATTTCTATAATGCTGCTTATTTTGTGATGCTGACAAAATCTACTTCCTTTCTATGTGATTCTGAATTCTCACCTTTAAAAATGAACACAGTAATGTTAATAGAAGACTTGCCAGGGTCCCCTAAAGGTATAGAGACATAGAAGATGTACAATATTGAGAATTGCTTCCCCACCCTCCTGGAGTCATGGCAGGGCATGATGCATAAAAAGTATATTAATAAGTCAATATACTATAAATATTAACAAATATGTAAATAACTTAATAAGTAACTTATTAGAGCCAGGAATGTGCTAAAAAACTTTTTTTTATGTCTATTTTTAAATTAGCCACCATAAACTCAGAAGAAACAAACTTTTTTTGAGTTCTAGTTAATTATGAAAAATGTGAATTGGTATTTAACCAAAGCCAAGCTGGAACCGTAGAAATCACTGCCTGGCCTCATGTGCTGTATCCAACACCACTTAACTGTGCAACCTGGGGAACTGGTTATTGTGAGGATTAAACAAGTCAATGCACAAGAAGTGCTTGGGACCATACCTGGCACATAGTCGTGAGCACTCAGGAAGTGTTTCTTAGAAACAAGATAGTGCTGCTTTAGAGCTGTAGGCTCGAGAGCCAGACTGCCTAGGTTCAAGGCCTATCCTTACTGCCTGAGCAGGCGACCTAACTTCTCTGTGCCTCTGTTTCCTCATTTACACAATGGGAATATTTAAATCTGTTTCATAAGTTTGTCAGGAGTTTAAATGAATTAATACGTGTAACGCACTCAAATGGTGCTTGGTACAGAGCAGGGACTCCATGTGAGGCGGTGGGCTCAGTAACTGTCCCCAAATTAGTGCAATCATTGTCATGAGAGTCACCTCTAAAGCATCTCTTCCTATGTGGCTGCCTTGGCATTTCTCCAGACTGCTGGATCTGTCTGGAGCTGAATTCATGTAAAACATTAACATACATGAACCAGCTGAGTGCAGGCAAATATTTGTGTTTCTTAAATGAATGACGGACTAAGAAAAACACAAAGCTGATTTCATTATAAATCTTTAAGGCAATTCAGTTTTCTAAATGGAAGGGTGGCTGCATTCATTTTTATTCGGTTCATTATAAACAGTTTAGCTATATGTAATGTGCATAAAATTAAAGAAGAAGTGAATATTCACTGGCATTGCAGCACGAGCTTACTTATTTTATAAAAATGGCTTTTTGCCTCAGAAGAGGAGGAAAATTCATATGAATTCCTGAAGCTTGTCTATTAATACATACATTTGGATCCATTTTCTCCTATGTATCAACATGTTTTAGACCCATCGGCATCTCCTGATGCCCTTCTTTCCATAAAGTATATGTCGAAGGAAGAAAAAGATGGCAGAAAAAAAGGGGGAGGGGAAAGATCACTAACAGATATGGAGCACTTTTGTCCAAGGTACTATTTTTCTATCCTCACAATAACCTTTTGCGGGGTATATTTTCTTATCTAACATTTACTGGGCACTTACCATGTGCCAGGCGCCGTGCTAACTCTATTACTCTGAATCCTCACAACCACCCTAATCGATAGGCAGTTACTACCCCCATGTTACAGATGTAGCAGCAAGAAGGCTGGGGGAAGTTGAGTAGCTTGCCTAAGGTCACACAGTAGAAAAGTGGCAGCATTGGGATTTGGGTGGTCGATGTGTCACACAAGATAATGTGATTTGAAGGCCTCACACTTTATGCTTACACAGTCTGTGTACCTATGGCACTTGGAATGATCATGACTCTTTCATAGCAGATATGTTAAGATAGAAGATTTATTTCTACTATTCTTTGAGGCGTACCCTGGATCACTGAGGGCCTAGAGTTCCATGTTTACTCCAGTCTGCAGGGTCTGAACACACTCGCCAGAGGAATGTGGCTGCCTAGGGGTGTAAGTTGTGGTGTTCGTGGGCTAGTACATTGGGGTGTGTGTGCATACTATGGGCCAACCCATTCATAAAGACTTAGCCAGGTCCCAGCCTGCTGGAAGCAGATTTCATAAAGCAGTAAGAGCAAAATGTAATCCTAACTTCAGTCCTAGGTACTGAGCAAATGTCCAATATATCCTTGACTGACTTTTACTTCTCAAATTATTTCATGTCTTATTATTAAATGCTAAGACAGCGTCAGGTCTCAGGAAAAATTTCTTGTTGCTTCGAGACCCTCTGGCAAGTGATTTTCTCTTCTCATGGGAAGGGAAGCAAATGAGATGAACAGATTGTGACTTCTGACTGTAATTTTAAACATGTCATTAAAAGATATGGGTCCCCATTCCCAGGAGATACACCACAGTAAGAGGAAAAACCAGAACATCCACAAAATCTCTTGTTCAAAGCTGCTTTCTCTAGAGATGACACTAGCCTGCTCTGCTCCACATTAGTTTTAAGCACTTACTGTCCATAAGGGCCTTCCATTTATGCTAGGTGTCAGAAGGCCTCCCTCCTTTGAAAGAACTGCTGGGTGCTCCTGCAGAGCTCAGCTATGGGTTATCAGTAGAAGACTGATAGAAGAGACCCGATAGAAGACTCCTCCATGCCCACCCTGCCCCGCAGTGGCCCATGTCAGAGGGGTTTCATAGGCCACTGGGGGACACAGCTCCCCTAGCCCCACCCCCCCTTTCAAATGGCCAGTCCCATTTTTCAGTATTTATATTGTTTTACTCTGTTGCCAAACACTGTTCATACTGAAAAGCCAACTTTTTGTGTTTATTTGTTGCTAGAATTAAAGAAGGTAAACTCATCAGTAGCAAGCATAACCACTAAGAGAAGCAATCTGCTTCCTTCTAAAAAATAAAAAATCATCTTACCTTTCCCTGATTGAAATTGGAATTCCTCCCAGATAATATGTGTTAAAATCAAATATTTCACCTTCGATTCTAATCTTTTGAGTATTCACAATTATCCACGTAAGTTTCTGGGTTTTTCTAATATTGATCAGAAACTGAAATAAATGAGAGATGAGTCAGTGAGCAATGGGAAATAAAAGAATCCTATTCACAGTGGTTCAGAGCTATCTTGATTTTGTCTTCCTTCAGATTTATTTATATACATGGCAGAAGACTCTGAGCAGTAGCACTTCTATATAAAAATATAGTATTGAAACATTTAAATAGACATGTTTACATTGGAAATTAATCATGTTTTATATAGGCCATATACGTGCTATATATTTCATGCCCAAATGTTCAAATTTTAAAAGGACATGTCCCTTGGTTAATAACTGTGAGTTCATCTGGTAATAGAAATGTGTTTTGGGCTCTGTGTTAACCACAAAGGATGAAGGATGTTTAACAAGTCAAGTAAACAGGCTCAAAGGATATACCGAATGATCTTGCCCGTTGTTTATGAGGTCTCTGTTTCCTTCACGTTTTGGTGGCTCTGAATTAAGTTTGTATTGCACCTGGAGACTGCCATCTTCTATATTTATGGAGATGAAGTGATCCTAGAGCATGGAAACAATATAGATTACCAGGAGACTCAACAAAAGAAGACTTAAACACTGGAACTCAAGTTACTCTCAAGTTACAGACTGCTCTCAGCTCCAGCTGCCTCCTAGTTAAAAAAGGACAGTAGTGCTGCAGTCCCTGGTTCCTGGTTTGTGTATGATGGTCAAATGTTACAAGTCATGGTAAATATCTACAGTGGTTGGTACACAGGAAGGACACAATAAATGTTATAATCATGATTGTTTCATAATAATCTATAACCAGCATGCACAAATGGAACCTGAAAAGATTCAGATCATTCATATCATGTGAAGAAATGACTGCTACCTTTTAGAGAGAGGTAAGGTCTTACTTAACCCTCAGACATTTTCCACCATCTGTTTTCTGGCTTATCACTATGTCTCAGTCTCATTTGCTGGCCCATCCCCCCGCATTCCATTTAGGTGTTGGGGGTCCCTCCAGTATCCTGCATTGGACCTCTGCCCTCCCACCACTCTCTCTGCCTCACAGTCACAGTCACTCCTTTGGTTCCGATTCGGGTGTGCCCATGAAGCCCAAATATTCTTCCCCTGTCTTTTCAGGGCCAGGTCTGTACGTCTGATAACCTTATTGCTTTTGCAGACATGACTCACAGATACTCAAGTTCAGAATATCTCTAACAGAATTTATGATCCACATGCCTCCCACCTGCTGCCAAGCCTGTCTCTCGGCCTTCATGCTGCTCTCTCTCCTCCTTTCTCTCTCACCATTAATCACCTTGCTGAACCAGCCACAAACCCACCAGGAGTTGTCCCTGATTCTTCCCTCTCTCTTCCATCCAATCAAATATTGTCAAATCTACCGCTTCTTAACTCTCTCTTTATTACATGTCACCTAGTCTCAGTCACAACTCCTTCAGCTGGACTGCACAGCAATAAGGTGCTATGCCCCCTCCCCATGTTCACTTTGTCCCCTCCTGAATTGATTTTCACTTTGCAGCCAGAGCGGTCTTTTTGAAAATGCCTGTTACTGAGCAGACTTTTGAAAATGCCAGCTGGTGAGCAGTTTTTTGAATACGCCAGTGTGAGCATGTTACTCGCTTTTGCTTTCCGGATAAAACTCTAACTCCCTAGCAAGTGCTCTGCGGCCCTGACCACCCCTTCTGCTTCGTTTCTCAGTGGTCCCTCTAGACCTTTGTGCCCCAGCCACATGGGCCATCATTCCATCCCTGAGTGCTCCTTAGCCTTCTCATGTCTGGGTCTTCTTCTTGCCCCTTCCCACACATGGATCACCCTTCTGCCCTCTCCCCTTCAAAAGTTATCTTCTACTTGTCCTCAAAGTCCCAGATTAAGCATCCTTTGTTTAAGAAAGTCTTTCCTGTTAAACATCCTGATTACGCCTCAAACTTTCCCTCTATACACTCATGACCACTGTAATGAATTAATTATCCAATTAACAAACATAACTTTGTTTAGGACCTTATATTCTAGATGAAAAGTATTCTCACATACTTTAACCATCCATTTCCTTAGTGGAAAGATAAGCTGAGGAATTTGTCCTGTAGGGTTAGAAGTTTCGCTCTTACACAGTTCTCTATTGATAAGAAGGCCTCTTTTTGAAGTTTTCTGCCAGAGTTCTTATCTATAAGAATCAGTCCTTATGTGGATCCTAAGCCTTGCCCTTAGAAGCCAGTTAGGGTTCATCACACTCATACATAACAGGATAACATCAATTCACTGGGCGTAATGATCCATCCTACTTCACAGCAGCACTTTGGATCATTTTCTCTTATCTGGTTACTATAGCATTTTGTAAGTTTTCTTCTAATATAAGTAATATTTTCAGTTCTTAGTCTCCAAGAACTCTAAAATGTAGTACAAAGAAGACCTTGTTGTAAAAAAACAACCTCCTTGACTTGAAGATGCTGTGTGACTTCTCAGCTCTCTGCATTCTTCAAACAGATCGGGACCTTTCAAACCGTCAGAGCTGGTTCAGCCTTGGGATCTCCCGGAGAGTCCCGACCAACCCCAGAAAGGAGATTTGGATCAGGCCTGTATCCCCACCCTGCAGGTAGAAGTGTCTGGTAAAATCCCAAGCTCCTTATGAATCCCACATTCTCAGACTGGAGCTCCCATTGGGTGATCCATATTTCTCCAGAAATCCTACCTGTAGAAGCAGCTACAGAAGAGCTATTAACAGGAGCCATTAAGCCAGGCCCATCTACCAGCAGATGGCGCTGACAATTGCTTGTAGAGCATCGCTTTGGACCTTTCCTAAACTAGCGGGCTTAAAAATGGCCTCTGTCTATGGCCATGCTACCCTGAATGTGCCTGATCTCGGCTGATGTCAAAAGCTAAGCAGGGCCGGGCCTGGTTAGTATTTGGATGGAGACCACCTAGAAATACCAGGTGCTGTAGGCATAAAAATAAATAAATAAACAAGTAAAAAAAAAGAATGGCCTCTCAGCTGCTTGATAACAGAGAAGCATCCATGTCTTGGGCAGTCAGGGTCAGGTCTCTAAAAGACAATCTCACACAGCCTGGCAAGGGTCAGACCACGATGCAAACAGTAGTTCAAACTGTTTAGCTCTCAGAGGGCCCCAGAGGCCTTTACATGTTTTTACACAGTACCCTGAATGTGCCTGATCTCGGCTGATGTCAAAAGCTAAGCAGGGCCGGGCCTGGTTAGTATTTTGATGGAGAGAGACCACCTAGAAATACCAGGTGCTGTAGGCATAAAAATAAATAAACAAACAAAAAAAAAGAATGGCCTCTCAGCTGCTTGATAACAGAGAAGCATCCATGTCTTGGGCAGTCAGGGTCAGGTCTCTAAAAGACAATCTCACACAGCCTGGCAAGGGTCAGACCACGATGCAAACAGTAGTTCAAACTGTTTAGCTCTCAGAGGGCCCCAGAGGCCTTTACATGTTTTTACACAGATTAAGTAAATTATTAGGCAAACAGTAGTTTTCAAAGAATGAAAGTGACAGTGAGAATAGAATGGGAAAGGGGAAGATTTCTTCCATATTTTGGTGGCGGGCTCTCAAATTCCTGACTACTTGCCTCATTAAGCACTCACTCCCGTAGCCAAAGAAAGTAGAGCCGGGCCAAGGGAAATGATGCAGGTAACGTTTTCAGTGCCTTTCAGATCTAGTTGGTTGTTTATAATAAATCAGTTATCCCCAAATTAACCAATCAAATGGACATATTTGTTAGTATTTAGATGCTTTATAATATAGATTACCTGGTTTTCTGCAAAGAACAGCAAACCTCTATCCACAGTGGTCTGAATTGTCTGTACAAAGTTTAGGGAGAAAGCATTTGGTTGAGTTGGAACTCGAGCATAGCCTGTACCTTCAAAATAATTTTTGTCTGACTCTTCCTTTCTCCTGTCAATGAGAATCATCATTAGTTAGAACACAGCAGCAGCAAAGGACTACCACACAAGTGTGTTTATTAATGCAAGGTGCTGCTATCTAAAAAACGGAGCAAAGCATAAGCAAGATAGTTGTCATGATTTTTTCAAGAAGAGTAAACATATTTAAAACGTTAAAATGGCCAGTTGTTTCTCCTGGATGTGCCCTTATACTCTATGATAATCAAACACTAGCTCAACAAAGATAACATTCAAGAGTCCCCTTTGAAAATATCTAATTAGGAAGATGTGGCCTAGTAGCTGAAGAGCTTGAAATGTAAGAAATTATTAACTTGAAATAGAAACTTTTATTCTGAGTAATAAGTACTCAGTCTGTTCCATATTAGACTATTCCAAATTCTTTTACCTAGAAGGATGGTCAGGAGCTCAAGGCAGCAAGTTTTGAATAGGTATGGGTGTCAGACTACCTAGAAAGTCATGGTATACTTTGTGGACCACTATTTTTTTTTTTTTTAATTTACAGTAAATACAGGCACTGATTTAGTGCCTAAATCGGGTACTATCTAAAACTAAAAATTCTGTGGTAGGAGGCACCAAAAATTTAAGAAGGATTTATTTTTTCCAAAATTGAGAAAACACTATTAATGTAACATATTATACAAATGAGGAAAAGACTGCTATTATTAGATTTTAGGGATAGACTAGCATTGTTGCATAAACGTCTAATTTAAGAACTACTGGCTCAAAGCAACCAGTGACATCAACAGTATCTTACTGGCTATCCTTTATTATGCGTAATATACCTGCAAGTTAAAATCAGTTATAGAGACACTAGTTTCTAGGTTTTATTTACCTTCTACAAGGCTCCACTTCGGTTGTGTTGAGATTGAAAGATTTTTTGAAGTTGTACAAGCTCAGAACATTTTCATTGAGGTCATCTAATTCAATACAACCTTTGTATGCTGGGAATGTCAGACTCCTAGGAAGCTGAAAAAATGCGACAAAAAATTTACTAACCAAACAAAGGACAATGATCAAGTTGACCAATAAATAGTACGAATCTATCACTTTTAACCATCATTATAGCATAAGAGTTAAAAATGTGGACCCTGGAACCAAATGTCCTGGCTTTAGTATTTCTAGCTGTACAACCTTGGGCAAGTTATTCAACCTCTTTGTCTGTTTCCTGATATGGGAAGTGTGAATGATAATGATGCTTTGTAAATTAATATACTTAAGCAAAGATCACTACACATAGGAAGTACTGGAGTGTTGCTATTATCACTGGATGAGCTTTAAGAATAGATAGTTAAATATAGCTTATATCCAGTTGACAATTAGAGACATGACGTCCTTATATTCAATTAAAATTTATATATTTTCATTCAGTGAAATAACATCTGCACTTACTTTAAAACCAGGTGGGTAACCTCCAACATAAAATACAACATTTTCAGGATCCAAATTAAGGAGCGTGTTGCTATTTCCATTGTCAATGTCATCGAACTGAAGTGTTTCTGGTTTACTAGATGTGGCTCTTCTGGTGTAATTAAGCCTTGCAAACTGATAAATTCTGTTCAAAAATAAATTAGATAATAAAGTTATATAAAAATCTATGCAAAAATGAAAGAAATCAAGGCCACGATACTAAAAATGGGGTTTAGCCACACGTACAATTGAGGTTTGGTGAGTGTCAGTTAGATTAACAAGAAGCGGAAGTCTATCAGACTTGTACCTCTGAAACTTCACTCGGTCCATAACAGAATCCTGAGTTTCGCTCTCCGTCAAGATCTGGTCCACCCGGAGTTCAGTCTCGTGCTCTCCCAGGTTGTAGACACACGTGAGCTGCCCATTTTTAACTGCCATGCCGATGTAGTCCTTGGAGGCCTGGAGGTGTAAAGTCCACTTCAGAGCACTTCACATACTATATTCTCTCAACTTCCTATCCCAAGAGAGTACATCTCAAATACCTAATGGGTTTTATACAATAAGTCTTGAGCAGACAGGATAAATGAGGTGTATCCTTATACGGAATAATAGAGATAGAAATAATGTCTGAGCTGACTTTGCTCATGGTATAGTGCACTCATTTATTCACTCCCCCATGTGCTTGATCTACAAATATTTGCCAAGCACCAGCCATAAAGATGAACCAGACTCAGGACTCCATTAGATTTTAGTTTTATAGGGACATAAGCCATTTTTTGTTCTCTCCATACCGTAATACAACATTCTCTTAACACTTTGTTTATGCTTCTGTTATAACACCTAGCACCCTGTATTATCAAGGTCAGCTACAAATGTATATTTCTCCTGTTAGAATATGAGCATTTTAAGGTAGATACAAATTTTTTTAAGTTGTGGTAAAAAAAAAAAAAAAATCCACCATTTTAATCAGTTTTAAGTGAATATTAAGTACATTCAAGAAACAAATTTTTCTTTATTATATAAGTACAGGGTATGGTATGTAGTAGGAATATGGTATAAATTTGTCAAAGATAAAACAGAGAAATTTGTCATAATACAGAGCAAAAAGTCATATCATAAGAAAGCTACAAATAAAGTACCAACAGCTTAAAGCATGAAAAATGATTAATAATAGTGTTGATTTTAGGAATCTTTAAATGTGGCATCCATTAGTGACAACCAGCTATTTCTTAATTGGACAGAATTTTCAAGAACCACGTTTCAGATATTTCTTTTCCAAAAATTGTTTCCTAACCAATCAATGATTAGCTTTTCCTCTGACAAGTTGAAGAAATGTATTTTAAGTGGAGGGATTAAAAGCTAAAATGAACTGTTCAAAATGCCAGTAACAGCAGTGGTTTGAAGAATTTAGAATTATAAAGAGATGGGGCAACTGGATTTCTGATTAATTAGGTAGGAGAGGCTTCATTTGCTCCAGTCCTCAGCCACAGATGGTCCCCACCCCAGAGAGCTGAGGAAGGACTGGGGCTGGATGTTATGAGAAAGAGAACAGGGTCACTATTCCCTGAGGAAGAACTACTGTTAACTCTCATGACGTCTGGCTATTGCTGCTCCGATCTTGAACTCCAGGGTGTATACGCTAATGGGTACACATGTGTGCCCATGTGTTGGAATCAGGTAAAGTCCCTAGATCTGCCGGTAGATAACAATCCGTGAATGCCAGAAGGGCCCCTGTGGGGCCATCAGAGGTGGTGGAGTTTGCTGACATATTGGTAGGATTTCCTCCCACTGTGCCAACCTCAGTGACACAGTGGTATCACGCAAATCAAAAGCTATATTCTGTTTTAAAAACAAAAGAAATGTCAAAGCAATACTTACATCTTTATTTCCGAGGTACATCACAAACATATTCTGAGTCCCCCCATTTTCTTTTGATTCAGGTCTTTGTAGAAACAAAGAAAGAGATGTGTATCCTTTCAAATCCTCCAGGTCACTTGGCAGCCGGACTTCAACACCAGATTTCCCGTTGAACCTCATGGGGACAGCGACCTGTGAGAGAAAGATCTATGGTGTCAACCTGTGAGAAAAGTGGGTATGCTCTTTTAAGTGGTAGATTGTGACTTTGTAGCTACTCCTTTTAACCTTTTCCAAGTTGTTTTGATAAGGCGCAAAAGAGTGTGAATATCTCCTAGACCCAGATTATAAACTCATGAAACTGTTTCAGGAGCTGAGTAATAAAACATTCATGTTCTTCCTATTTATCAGCCCTCTGGTGTTTGAGCAGTGAATTTCATTCTCTGTATCAAGAATATAATCATTATTATAATAGTGATTCCAACCCTGTGTCAATGAGCTAACACATACAGAAGCACTTAGCATGATGCCAGGCATATATAAATATATAATGCATCAAAAACATTTTTAAAGGAACTTTTTAAGAAACCATTTCTCATGAACTTATTACATGTCATCACAGGAATTCAGACCTAAAAAATGAGGGCATCAAAGCTCTCTAAAACGATGCTTCTTACACTTTGGTGAAGGACCATCATTGTTGTTGTTGTTTTGTCTAATCTGCTCTGGACCAAATCTTTTGTAAAACATATTAGAAATTAAATTACTAGAAAAATGAAACAAAGAAGGTATTTTTCCATCGATCCCATGCTTGGATGCTGAGGCAATTCAAAATATTAAAAGTTGCTAAACATTTACTCTCAATTTTATACTTATGTATCACAGACCAGTAACAAAAGCTCTCTGACTAGGCCTAGTCTGTGGACCAGCTTCGGTAGCTCTGTGTTAAAACATACAAAATAAATATTCTCTAACGATCTAAAGAATAACACTCCTGGAATGATACTTACACAAACTCTACATTTTAGCATTTAAATATTTATGGAGGAACTTGGATAGGCAAAGCATTACGTGGCAGTGGGGGGTGGGGGAGGCTTAGCGATGCACGAGTTATGATGTGACTGAGCTCCCCTCACCCACGTGCGCAGGCTCATTGTATCCCTCTCTCTTCTCACTCTCTGTCTTCCACTATCCCCAACCATATCCTGAGTCTTTCCTGGCATGCCCTTGTGCTTTGACAACTCCTACTCATTAAAATTTTTTTTAAATTAAGAAAACATTTCATGAATACAAAAAAAATAGAGAGTATAACTGTATATGCACCACCATCTTAAGAAATTAAACATTACTGATATAATTGAAGCCCCTGGTATATTCCACCTTGTCCCTATTCCTCTGTCTCTTCTCAGAGGTCACCACTACCCTAAATTTGGATTCCTATGTGTAGTTCCACGCATGTTTTAATACTTTTAAAAATAATTATATATTTATCTATAAACTGTAATTTGTCGTATTTTTCATGTTTTAAATATTTTTATATCAATGGTATCCAGTTGTGCATATCCTTCTACAACTTGTTTTCTTTGCCTCATTCTCTTTTTCGATTTATCCTTGTTGATACACTTGGCTTCCGCTCACTCACATTTCTTGTCATATGGTCTTTGTTGTATAAACTTGTCACAATTTTATTCACTTCCTATTGATGGACATTTGGATTTTTCCCAATTATTTATTTATTTTTTTAAAGACTGGTGAATCAGTGCCTCAATGATGGAAAATTGCTGTAATTCTATGTTCAAAACATGCCCATGCTGGTAGGAACCATTCCTCTATCCCCAACAAAGGTGTAACTTTAGAGTTACAGTAAGAAAACAGGGCCTGTGCAATATCATATTAGCACATTCTAATCATAGACCCCTTAAACTGAACTTGCAGTAATACTTTACCAACTGAGGCCTGCAGGAGAACCCTTCTTCCTGCCCACATAAACTCACTGGGAAGGAAAGTGCTTCAGGTCCCTGACATGTAAGATGATTATGCACTCTTCAAGGATGAGTGGAGGAAATCAACTTTCACATTTCAAGCAACCAAAGAATTAGGGCAAGAAAGACAATCGGTTCTTGAGTAAACAAAAGCCTTTGCTTTCTTGACGAATGCGACAACTTATCAAAGAACGAGCCTTGGTCCTTTACCTTATTTGCAGCATCTCTGGCCTGCTGAATTAGCTCTCGTATGCGGTCCATGTTGTCTGAAATGTTGCCCAGTGGCAACAGCTGTTGGTTGATACTTTCAATTTTGCTCAAAAGATCGGGCAGTTTGTTGGTTAATTTCTTTACTATTGGTGAGATTATAAAACAAATTTATAATTATGAGTTGAGAAAAGGTAAAATACAGATATTCCTATTGACAGTATTTGTCAAGTGGCATGTTTAGGTCCCAAATGTTAGACAGGATGACTCAGATTCAGGTAATACCTTTTCTAAATATGTCAGGAATTTTATTCTGCAATCTAGATAGCAAATCATTGTTCCTGACTACTCTAAAAAATAAATCATAATTCAATACCTCACGATTCAGGGACTTATATCTACACTCCATAACAGGGAAAATCAATAGTAATGTTAATGAACCCTATCTGGTCCTTTATCTAACAGAATACCCACACTCTTTAAATGTATTATGTGAAGCTGTTTTCCAATGTTTTAACTAAGATCAGACTTTCAGGGAAGAATTTAATCTGACCATAGCACATAACAATGGAGAAAATGAATAATGTGTCCTGGCCCCCAAATACCCGATACCTGAGTTATCCGCATCAGTGAGAGCCTTGTTGAAGTCTTCACTCTGGGTGCTCCCATAAGTATCTTTGATTCTTTCCACATCTGTCTGAATTGGGTTGAGCCCATCTAGAACCTCGTTTGTGATGTCTTTGGCATTTCTGACCATATTCTTTGCACTACTGATCATACCATCGATGTCATCTAATACACGCACAAATAGGTAGGTGTAAGTATCTAAACTGTATGACAAAAGAAGCCAAGTATGATGGGTTCAGGAGATGCTGACCTCTCTCTATCCCACGAAGATCATCACGGATGGCAGTGATATTGGTGTCTATCATCTCTTTCTGAACTGTCATGATTTTCAGAGTTTGCTGTAGGTCGTTCAGAGCTGGACTGATTTCTAAAATAAAACATTAAGAGGCAATTACTCTGTGGATTTTGATCCTGCATTGGTATTGATGACTCCTGAAGTAGCCAGTGTCTATACAGCTTTGAACAGAACTGTATCCTAAGGTCATCCCAGAGATGCCCACTGCCTGTGCCTAGACCCACAGTTCCAGGGTCCTCTGGCTACAGAGGTCAGGAACATATCAGAACCTGTGGTACCAGGCTCCTTGGAAATGCACATAAAGAAAGGGAGAGGCTTAATAACCTAGGAGAGGGCTTAACTTCCACTCAGCTGAGGACAGAAGTCTCTGCTTAGTAAAAGAAAAGGATGTGTTTGTCTAGTTCACTGCTGTCTCCTAGCACAAAGTGCCATGTCTGGCGCTAGTCAGGGCTTAATAGTATTACATATTTATTGAATGAATGAATGAATAAATATGAATGAATGAACAAATGAATGAATAATGCAGAAAGGATGCCTCTAGTCAGAGTATAAGAAAAGAATGTTGTCAGAGCCTCATCTAATCAAACAAACACACAAGTAGGCCTTGTTTGCTTCTGTTCATTTTTAAATGGACACATTTAAGGATATTCAGTGAAATTATAAAGAGAACGTATGCTATACTAGAAAATTTTAATTCTTGACATCTGCTAGACAAATGATTATATGTTAACACATATTTTTTGTACTTTATTTTCCACATATTTAATATTTATTTATTTATTTATTTATTTATTTATTTATTTATTTATTTGCTAGTAGAAGGCATCTAATCACTCTGAAAGCACTAAGAGGCTGAGTGAGGGCCATGGACTCAGATGGCTGCTTGGCCATGAATGACCACAAGAGACCACAGAAAATCAAGACACAGTATTTTCAAGACACAGGAGTTTTTTGAGATTGAGAAGACAGTTTAATTATTATTATTATTTAAAAATAATAAGTGGAAAATTTTCAAAGATAAGCATTATGATTAAAAAATTCTCATGCTTCACAGTGGTAGTGGTTTTTGGTACTTTTAAATTGCTTAGATTTTAGGACTTAAGAATTTTAAAGTTACTCTAATGATCTGAAACTAATGATCTTGACCTTAAATAAATAACCAGCATTGCATATACCTCTGTGCTATGTGGGTTCTCAATGCAATGGTCCCAAGAAGATTAAATTAAATAGCCCCTTGAAGGCCAAGCTGAAATAGGCCTATCACCCTCAAGGTTTACTTATATTCAAGAGGTTCTAATTAATCCAGTATATGTTAGAATATTGAATGGAAACATCAAATCTATACAATAAACCATGGATTTACAAATCTATATCAATGCTGAGATTCAAGAAGAGCATTTATTTCTAGGACTGCCTCTCATGGTCCCACAGGTTGTTTTTAAGCTCTCGATTATCCTGACCACCTCCCACCCCCTCAATACCTTGTTGTAGTTTCTTCTGTGTTATCTTGGCTTCATTTAATAGTTTATCACTGTTGGAACTCAGGGTTTTAGCTTTTCTTGGAAGATCTTCCTTTATCACTGTCTGAAAATAAAGTGTTTATGAGCCTTAAGCATATGGCATACCTTAGGAAACATGGAGTAGGATTTTTCATCCTATCTTAAAGCCCTTTAATCTTTAAAAGATGAAGTTGATAGGTGAGGAAGAGGTTTAAAAAGAGGGTTAGGGCTCTAGGTAGACTTTGTGGCTTGGGCAGGTGAACCTATCTCTGGTGACATATTGACAAATTACGGGAAAACTGTCTCATTTTCTCACTGTCACTTGTACAATATCCTCTGCAATAACTGAAGACAGAACTGAGTTGCTTTTAGGTTTTTACTCTTTGGGAGATAAAAGTCTTCAACCTTCGAAGAAAGCCTTTCCCCTAATTCTTTGATATTTAATATTTTGTTCTTTATTTTTAAATATAGAAATATTATGTGGTGGATATAAGATCCCATAGGACTCTATAGATGTGCCTAGGTATAAGACAAAGAACAGAAAACAAATAGTCGTTAAGTTGTGTTCAAAAATCTCTCTCTTCTTTGGTTAATGCTAATACTTAATTATAGCCTAAAAGCATACCTTATAAGAAGCAAGATATAATATTTATCTTGATTCAAAATTGATAATCACTGTAATTTCTACAGCAAGTTCAAATCTATTCTATATAACAAGTTCTGATTTAAAATAATGCTTTTTTATATTCCTCAGTGCATAAAAAAAAATAAGAAAGTGAATAGTCTCCAGAGGGCATCTAGAAAAGGTGCCGGTGCAGATGCCCACCTGAAGGGCAGACTCGGATGCAGTTGTGGCCTTGTCTGCTGCGTCTTCCGCCGCTTTGATGGCATTGAGGATGTTCTCGTAGGCGGTGGCCGCATCCACGGCACAGCGCACCAGTTCATCTGCACTGGCATTCCTCTTGATCCTGGAAGACAGACCAGGGAAGTACTCTAGCAGCTGTCCTCGGCCTGCAGCTGATGCAGTGATTCATTTGGCAAATGGAGACCTGAGCTGGGGGTACTGCAGCTCTGTCCCAAGGGTGCAACTGGGAAACAGTGACCGTTGCAGATGTGTTTTGGACCTGGGCCCTGGGCCCCTCTGCCTTGTTCTGGAAATCCAGGACGCCCAGGAGAAGCTTCCACCCCAGAGCCCAGCGGCATCTGCATTAGACTCCAGGGCCACACTCACCCCTCCAGCTGCTTTGCCAGCTCCTGTAAGGACTTAGCATGCTTCTCTGCCTCCTCCACCAGCGATGCTTTGCTGGCAGATTTGGAAAGTTCTCTCACTTTGTCACTTAGTTCATGTCTTGCTTCATTTAAAGTGGCAGCTATTTTTTTGTATTCCTATTTTTTCCAAGTAAACAGAGTGTCAATTTAAGCAAAGAACATATATGACATTTTCTTGAACTCTGTCATAAATGACATGTTCAAGGAGACAAGAAGAAATTGTTTTCTAAGCCCATTTACTACATCAATTAATCCTTGGTTACTTCAGATAGTGGCACTATACTATTCTCCCAAGTTTTACAACGATTTGAACATTTTCCTTATGGTGGGCACTCCCTTCGATAAATTTTAAAACAGTGCACTGTTCTCATTAGTATAAAATTATACTAAACCAAAATACTTTTTTTCTGACTTAGAAACAGCAAACATAAAAGATATTTTTAAAATGCCTGTTGGGCTGCTGAGAAATGTTGTCAATCTTTTATCAGCCCAAAATGTGTTCTGGTAATAAAGGTATGCTTTTATTTTACAAATGGCATAACAATTTTTTAAATCGCAAAAGTCATATTTGCTCATTGCAGGCAAATTAGGCAATTCAAACAGACACAAAGAAGGGACAGCATTTATACCCCTCCTCTAAGGGAACATCACTATTGACATTTTGGTATATTTCCCTCCAACTAAAAGACATATACTGGAGAAAAAATAGGTCAGCCCATCTCATCGTTTCCTCACAAAATAATTTAAATGTTTTTCAATTTTCTAGAGAACGAGTTTTGTCTCTACCTCCTGGCTTTTCCCCATCAGCTTCAGCATAATGTTGGTTTGCAGTAAGGAAGCATCTGCAGTGGCTAGAGACTTGGTGAAATCACTCTGTAGGGAATTCATTTCTTGAACTTGTCTCTGTAGAGAATAAAAAGAATATCTGCTTGAGCTATAGGATATTTTATCAGCAGGTGCAGGTATATTTATTGGATAATAGCATATAAGTAATTTCAGAGTCAGAATGTTTTTTTGAATGTAAAGATCATCTAGGCAACTATGAAGTGATGGGAAATCAATTCTCTTTGCAGTGTGGGTGTGTTGTCATAGTTTCCTCAAACTACATGCCAATGAAACAATAGTTGTCATTGTTGAAGAAGGTTTCTATGCTGGGGTCAACTTGGCCAATGAGGAGGATACATCATTAAACTCTGGTTTGTGGAGCAGAATGAGGGATTTTTAACCCAATAAACCAATGCCAACCATCAGCACATCTCAGTGCCAGTCCCCATGAAGATGTAGGTGGGCTTCAACAAGAGAGCACATAGGACCTTAGAATGCCAGAACAGGAGGCTGCCAAAGTTCAGAGACCCATAAAATTGGATCCTGCTCCCTTGCCTTGGCATAACCAGGACTTCAAACACAGATGTTATTATTGAAAGAGGTCTGAGGTGTTAAGCATATTGCCATTTGCTAAGATGTTATTTTTCTTTTACCAAGTTCTTTTTTGGGGTCAGTTCTATGTTATTGCACTTTGATCTTACTGTCATTTCATAAATGCTCACACTTTTGTTGTTGGTTTAGCATACAATGTTCGCCATTGAAAATATATTCTATAGACGCTTGAGCTCTAAATTCTTTCATTGCAGATTCTACATGAGGCCTGTACTTTAACTTATTTCCTATAGAGCAGGTAACGCCTTAAAATGCCCTTGCTGGTGATTATGATAATGATGTTTAAACATCTGACACAAAAAGTCAGTTATTTAAAACATATGTACTTTGAATTAATTATAACAATATTAATTTCTCATCTACTTAGCAACATTATTCCTTCAGGAGCAGGGGTGAGGCAATTTGCTCTGCTTTCTTTGTAGTTTAAGTTCAGAATCTGTTCTGGCAACTGAAGAGTAGGTAGGAATGCCTTTAGTTTTGTATTTCATGCTTATTTCTGTTTGATTAGCATTTGCCATAAGGACAGGTGTATATAGACCAGATATACAGACAGGCTCTGCCCCTTTATTAATGATAAAGATCCTTCTCACTCATCCTGTTCATCAATGAAAGCATGAAGATTCTGACTATGAACTCACCTTGATGGATTCCAAATTCCTCTCGTTTTCTTGGTTAAGGCCGGTGGCCTTCTTTGCTTGGGCAGTTGCCTCCTGTAGTGCAGCACGGAGGTCAATGAGTTTGGCTTCATATTCATTTAAAGAATCCCGTATGCTCTTAACAAGTCCATTGTTCTCCACCTGGTGGTTTTCCAGCCAGCTCCTAATCCGATTCAGCACTGTAATACATTACTTTATGTTTTCCACTTGAGAGATGAGTATGTTGCAGCTAAGTTATAAAGACTACAGGAGGAGAGTTGAATTCCTACTCATTTCATGGTTTTCTTCGAATTTACAAGGGAATGGGGAAAAAGGAAACTAAAATTTATGCAGCACCTGCTCTGTGCATCGCACCCATTGCCTCATTTAATTTTTATGATAATCGCATGAAAACAGTAATTATAATTCTCATGTTTCAGATAAGGAAATGGAGGCCCTAAAAAATTATATGATGACAGAAGATTGCATGACCAGTCAGCCTTGGGACTTGAACTAGGTCTGCAGAGTATACAGCACATGCTCCTTCCCTACCGTCTCCTTGCAGTTAAAAGCCAGGCTAATGTTAAATTTAAACAATACAAATGCTAAAAGAAAACTGCTACTATCTGTATATTAACCACTGAAATATCATTTTACTAGAGAATAATACTTGAAATCATATTTACTAGAGTATTTGAAAAAATATGCACCAAACTAATATTTCTGTTTTGAGCTAATGAGGCATTTTAGGTATATAAACCTTTAGATATATTCAGTTAATTACTACAATACCCATTTTTTTTTTGTAATAGTAGTGCTAATATTAATCTGTGACTCAAAACCCTAATGATGGTGAGGTGACCATTAAAAAATGACATAGTGAGGAAGTTGGGAGGAGCTGAATGAAAGAAGAATGAAAATGCAGTTAAAATGAAAAAAGGGGTATCAGTATCTAATATCCTAAGAGAAGAACCTGTTATCTTATGCATTGATGGTAAGACGTTATATTCTGCAACCTTGGAGGGGCTACTCGTTTTCACTCCATGATGCTCTAACAGCCACAGCCACTGAAATGACAACACCTTCCACCTGGAACTGGACTCGATATTGTACTTTGCACATTGTATTTCAAACCAGTCAGTTTGGGATCATCCTTACAGAGCTGAGCCGCCCTTTTTTCAGCTTCTGCTTCTCTCAGGTGATTTCCAAAGCTGCGGTCCCGCATCTCCCTTATCATGCGCTCTGCCTCGGCCACCTCCCTGGAAAAATCACCGGAAGGCACGTGGTTTCCTTCTCCATCTGTCCCAGAGATCTGCCTCAGGAGGACTGGAAAACATCAAGCAGTTTATTAGACTGGGAATTCTGGACTCTGGCAGACTATTTTTTAAAAGGCAGATATTTTTATGGGAGGGTTCATATTAGTTTCTTAGTATCCCTGCAGGATCTTTTTCATAACGTTGAACTCTTAAAGGAAAAGTCTTTCAGTGTACAAAAAAGGGCGATAGAATATAAAAAATATTTAATAGGACTGAGTAACTCCTCTTACTGTGCACATTCCGGATGACATTTTTAACCTTTGCATCCAGCTCTTTTGCACTTTGGGTTGTCCGATCCACATTGTTATATAATGTTTGTGCTTTTCTGGAATTTATTTGAACCTATATGAAAAATACATTGATTAGCAACAAATTAAGTTAATGGGGAAAAATTAACCATATTTTGAAAGCAAAAAACAAAATTAACGTTATCAATCTAACACACTACCTTTTCTTGCAAAGTGTCAAATTCACGATTCAGATTACTCAGCTCTTTTTCTAGGCCGTCCATTTTTGAGCCATGATTTGAAATGGCAGAACGGTAGTTGAGCAGCTGATTCTGAAAGTAAAATACAAAGTTAATCTCAATTTAGAGTAGAAATTTGAAGTAAGTGCTATCAACTTCGTAAACCCGGTGATGATATTGAAAAGATTCATTTAGCAAGACCAATGCTGGTTTCAAGAAAACAATATGGTTCTTTGAAATAGCCTACATGAATAACCTACTTTTTGATGTAAGTCATGATATGGCTTTAAACCAAAAGTAGCAAATTTAAAAATGTGAAAAGATGAGCTACCTTGCTTGAATTAATGGCCTAAAAAATAGAGATAAGACAAGAAATCAATGAAATTGAAAATAGGAAAACAAAAGAGAAAAATCAATGAAATAAAAAAATAAAATTGATAAACCTCTAGCCAGAATAATCAAGAAAAAAAGAGATAATACACAAATTACCAATATCTGAAATGAATGAGAGGGCATCACTACAGATTTTGTAGTTAGTAAATGGTTAATAAGGGAAAATCATGAAAAATTTTATGTCAATATATTTGGTAACTTAGAGGAAATAAAAAAGTTATCTGAAAGGCACAAATTACCAAATATCACTCAAGAAGAACTTGATAATCCAAATAACCCCATATTTATTTTTTTAAAAATTGAACTTATGGTTTATTTAAAAAAAAAAAAATGCTTCCAAACAAAACAAAACAAAAAACAAAACCTCGGTGCATATGGTTTCACTGGAAAATTCATCGAACTAAAGAAGAACGAATAACAACTTTACACAAATCCATTTTTGAGTCTTCTGAATGCAAAATACTAAACTAAAGGCTCTATGAGAAAAATTAGCCCAGAAACATTCAGTAAGTAAGGAATGTTTGCCTAAGTGTCCGTTTTCTGTGTTCACTAGTATTTGCCACCAGTAAAAATGGTATTATGCTAAGTGAAATGAGAAAGAGAAAGACAAATACTGTATGATTTCACTTACATGTGAAATCTAAAAAATAAAACAGAAATGGACTCATAGATACAGAGAACAAACTGGTGGTTGCCAGAGGGACAGATGGTAGGGGGATAGGTGAAAAAGATGAAGGGGATTAAGTGGTACAAACTTCCAGCTATAAAATAAATTAGTCACAGGGAAGTAGCAAAAGCATAGAGAAAATATCAATAAGACTGTAATAAACTGTGGTGACAGAAGGTAACTAGACATAGTGGTGATCAGTTTATCATACATATAAATATTGAATCACTATGTTATGCACCTGAAACTAATGTAATATCATACTTTAGTTAAAAAATCTAATCTTTATTGAGATCAGAGGGAAGAGGAAAGCTTCCCTGAGCCTTAAAAGGAATCAAACTCTTCTTTCCTGCTTGAGGAATGTTCATTCATGCAGCATCTATTCACCATGCATCTGATCTGGGCAAGTATCATGCTGGACTCATAGGCTATTTACCCTCAAGTCCTTGGTCTGGGTCTCCAAGTGTCCCATCTGCTCCACAGTGCCCGCACTGGCACTCAGGCCCTGCAGCTGAGACTTGACTAGGCGGAGCTCATCAGCCATTGTGGCCAGGTCATTCAAGAGTGTCATCACACAGCTGTCACAATCTGTAGGGGCCACAATCAAAAGCAAGTGTTCTGCAGGCTGGAGCCACAGGAATGCAAACAGAGCACAAAGGCTGTACGGCCCAGTTAACATGAACATAGATCACCACAGGCAAACATCACAATCCTAGATTTCTCAAGGAGGGATGCAGGTTCTGTAAAAGGGAGATCTCTTGACAGGAAGCATTTAAAAAAGAAATGGTGGGGTAGAAGAAATAGGTGAAGATGGTCAAAGGTACAGACTTCCAGTTATAAGATAAATAAGTCCTGGGGACATAATGTACAGCATGGTGACTATAGCTAACAATACTGTATTGTATTTAAAAGTTGCTAAGAGAGTAGATCTTAAAAGTTCTCACCACAACAAAAAATATGTAACTGTGTGGTGGTGAATGTTAACTAAACTTATTGTGATAATAATTTTTCAATACATATATGTATACCAAATCATTTTGCTGTACACCTTAAACTAATACAATGTTATATGTCAATTATATCTCAAAAAAACTGGAAAAAAAGAAATGGTGATCTTATGTAAATTGCTGCTTATTTTACATGTGGGAAAAATAATAATAAATAGCTTATTGAGTGCTTGCTATTTACTAAACATTGCGATAAGGGATTTACAAAAATTTTTCCAACAACCCGATGAGGTTGGTATAGTCATTATGTTCATTTTAGAAAGGATGAAACTAAGGCTTGGAGAAGTAAGGTCACTTGCCTAAGGTCATACAGATCTTAGTTGACAGAGACTGGACTTGATCTTAAGTAGTCTTCTTCCTACCTCCTCCCACCATTGCCCTCCCAGACTGGAAACTACATGTTCCAGCATGGGGCTCACATATCTTAAGCTAAAACCCACAATTTGGAAAGGAGGGGTGCTTTCTTTCCTCACCATCACATTCTTCTCCAGGGCCGCTATCTTTGGGTTCCTGGTTTACGCAGTCTGAAATAAAGAATAACCAAAGAAGATATTGTTACTTAGCCTACTTCTTATCAGCTTTTTGAGTTGGCTTTCAGAAAAGTTAGTTTTGGAAGATTTTAGTTACCAAACTATCTAGCATCACTGGCTCTTCCCTTCTCCCTCCCTTACCTGTGCCATTGCTCAGAGAGTTTTCTCATCTCCCAGCAGTCTTTTATGTATGTATAGTTGTGTCACTTTTATTTTCTCTATTAGACTGTAAATGCCTTACGGCCAGGAAAGATGGTTTTATTTCCTTCACAATCTCCCACAGCATGTAGAACAGTTTGTGAGGGACTTGACTTATATGGATGATTGATTTATCAGTGCAATTTTCTCAACAAGTTTGAGTTTTGACCATCAAGGAATCTGCATATTATTAATCAAAATAGAAAGAATGCAAAAGAGAGAAAGAAAAAAAAAGCTCACAGACACAAATGAGTCTCGTGTGAGCGTTTGCTCCATTTTTGGAAACATATAGTTACCATCCTCATTTCAGGTTGCTAATTTTTGTTATTAGAGAAGGTTTAAAACACATTAGCCTCATGAATAGCTGTGCATGATGTTGAAGCTTCTCCTTGAATACCTCCAGTAGAACTCGTCTCCTTTTAAAACAGTACTTCTCGTCTTTAAATATTTGACACTTCTTCCTTGGAATGATTTAAAATAGACTTTCCTCTAGCTTCCACTCTTTGGTATAAGTTCTGTCTCCCATGCCACGTAGAACAAAGCCAACCCTTCTCCCTCACACCAGCCTTTCAAATGTGTACTTTCCAAGTCTTCTCTTCACTGTCCTGGTTTGTCAATCCTTCATGTGACATGGTTGCAAGTTCCTTCACAGTGTCACCCTCTTTCTGAACCAACTGGGTTTGTCTACTGTCTTCTAAGGACATAAAGCCCCCTGTGAGGCCTTATGTGAGCAGCGTACCAGGGGACAGCAGACCACCTGGTTTAAGACACTAGAATTCTGCGACATGAGGCATCTTAGGGGCCAATTTATTCTCCAGAGCCATAATGAGCTTACTGCTGACTAAAACCTCAGTCTTTTTACAACTCCTACTACAAAGCCAATCTCACTTATCATATACTTAAAGGCTGATTTTTTTTTCCCATTCAACTATAGGTTCTCATGCTTACCCCTCACATAATTTCGTCTGATTAGAATTCCCCCATTAGTACAGGCTGTCGAAGCCCTTTTGTATTCTAAATGTCATAGGAGGCATTTGCTATCTCTCCCAACTTTGTGTCATCTGATAACTGGGTGGGCATGCCTTCCATATTTCCATTCAAATTAATGCGAATTCATATTTACAGGACAAGAATGAAGCCAAGCCCCAAGACATGACAATAAGCACCTCATTCTGTATTGATAATAATCCATTTACTCTGTCTTCCTTTGGGACTTGACCCAGATTTAATCCACACACCTAGAGTTCTTCACCTGGTCCATAACTATAAGACTTTATCTAAAGGTTTGGCATTGTACTATATAAATGGCATTTTCCTGAGAAATCACATTAATATTCTCTTTCAAACGAGGAAGAGGGTAGTTTTCCTTTTTTTTTTTTTTCCAAGTTGGTCTTAATGAACGCAACTAATTCTCAGTAACTACCTTTTCCTTGGTATGTACAATCCACCTCAATTACATCATCCACATACTAGAACATTTATTGCTATTAGAGAAAGAGTACTTTGACTTCTTTAGATATATATACAAAAAAAGCTGAGTGACAATAACTTTGTGAAAGGGAGGTCTTAGCAAAATTATCGAAATAAGGTCCGAGGTTATTTTAGCTATAATTAGTTGAGTTTTAAAAACAATTTACTTAGGGGAAAAAAAGAAAGTTATTCACCAAAGGTGAAAATACTGCCTAAGCATTCCACAAGTTGTCAAAATAAGGGGACAATTTATTAGCTGGAATTCTGTATAATGCTTCCTGAAAATGTTTATTTGTTTTCTTCACCTGCTATTTTATAGCAATCTGATAAATGCAAGTTAACAGAGGTGTGGGTTGATCTTACCTCCAGTCAGGGGGTCACAACTGCCCAACAGGCCATTGCTGTTACAATTGCATGGTTGGCAGCTACCTCCAAATTTCTGGGGATTCCCAAAATATCCTGGTGCACACCTATACAAAATACAGAAAAGAGGAGAATTTCGCAGTGACAGACCTGCTCTCTCTGAGCACCAGTGCCCATTTGCCTGCACACAGGGAAACCAGGGACTTACAGGGAGACATTGATGGAGTGAGGGCCCATGCTCTGTACAGAAGTGCGGGCAGTATGCATTTTCCTTGTTAAGCCCTCCCCACTCCCAGTGCACCGAATGCAAAGCTGTCATAGCTGTGACGTCATCAAACTAAATAACAGAGGTTGCTCTGCCCATAGGATTCCCTGAAACTCTGCCTCCCCCAACTCGAGGCAGTACCCAAGCCACTTCCAGGTATATCCCCAGCGAGTCAGGTGCTCCTTGCTGAGCAGCGCCTAGACTCACACTGGAGGCAGCTGGCCTCGGTTTCTGGAGTGGCCTTTTGAGGCAACTATAAGCACAGCATCTGTGGATTGCTTGCTCAATCTTAACAGGTGGCCCTGGAGGGGCAGAGGCTTGGGATAAATTTGGCCTGCAGCTGAACCCCTCTCAGGACTGTGCCACTGGACATCTACTTCACAAATCTACACTAATAAGACTGGGAGACTTAGGAGCTTTGCTCAGTACATAGAAACAGGCACAGAAAGGCAGCCAAAATGAGAAGACAAAGAAGCAGAAACCATATGAGAGAACAAAACAGAGATCCAGATATAATGCAGTGAAGTAATCTAACAGATGCAGAGTTCAAAACACTGGTTATAAAGGTGCTCAATGAACTTTTGGAAAGTGTAGATAAATTCAGTGAGAACTTCAACAAAGAGATACAAAACATAAAAATGGAAATGGAAATTATAAAAGGGAACAATCAAATGACCTTTCTAGAGTATGGGAAAGCCAAGGACACTCAATCAGAATAGCAAGAAAAAAAATGCCAAGACTATAAAAATAATTTAAGGAGGATATGGGACACTATTAAGGGTCCAAACATCTGTCTCATCAGTGTAACTGAAGAAAATCAAGGTGTTGAACAGCTGTTTGAAGAAATAATGATGGAAAACTTCCCCAACCTGGTGAAGGAAATGGACATAAAACCCAGGAAGCTCAGAGAATCCCCAAAACCAGGGATCTGAAGAGGCCCATACCAAGACACATCATAATTAAAATGCCAAAGGTTAAATACAAAGAAAGAACCTTAAAAGCAGCAAGAGAAAAGCAGATAGTTACCTACAAGAGAGCACCCATAAGACTGGCAGCTGATTTCTCAAAAGAAACAATGCAGGACAGAAGGACTTCACATAAAATATTCAACATGATGAAGACCCAGAATCTACAACCAAGAATACTTTATCCAGCAAGCTATCATTTAGAGTTGAAGGACAGATAAAGAGCTTCCCAGACAAAAATAAGCTAAAGGAATTTATCAACACCAAGCCAGTATTACAGGAAATGTTGGAAGGACTTCTTTAGGAAGAAAATACATATATCAAAAACAGGAATAAAGAATGGTAGCAACTACATTCCTATCAATAAGTACCTCAAATGGAAAAGAATTAAGTGCTCCAACCAAAAGATAGAGTGGCTGAATGGATAGGAAAACAAGACCTACAAGAAACTCACTTCAGATTAAAAGACACACACAGACTAAAAGGAAGGGGATGGAAAAAGTTATTACTTTGATGGACCCAGAAGTCATTTAAGTCAGACAGAGAAAGATAAACACTATATGATTTCACTTACATGCAGAATCTAAGAATAAAAAGAACAAACTAATCAAAAACAGACTCACAAATATAGTGGACAATTTGGTGACGGACAGAGAGGAGGGGGATTGAGGGGCTGGGAGAATGGGGTGAAGTGTTAAAGGAGTACAAATTCGTAGCTGATGGATGGCCTTGGGGATGGGGAGCACAGCATAAGGAATGTAGTTAGCATTAACATGATGGCTAAGTGGAGGGTCAGGGAGGGAGCAATTGGGGGGATCATTTTATGAAATATATAGATGTCCAATTAATGTACTGTATGCTGGAAACTAAAATAAATAAATTTTAAAAAAGAGAAAACATAAACATATTAATGTTTCTGGAATTGGGATGTAATTTTAAATATTTCTGTTCATTAGCCAAGTTCCACTGTCACCCTAACCCCTCCAAACTGTCACTAAATCGATGTGTGTGTGGTGTCTTATCATCAACAGAATTGACAGAATCAAGGATATACGGTTTTTGACCCTCTTCCCCAAATTTAAGCTTTACATCAAAAAAAGTTTAGGCAATCTAAATATGCTTTACCAATGGATACATTGGTGATATAGTACAAAGGACACGGGTTTTGAACCAGGAAAATCTGGCTGGATCCCTGCCTCCACCATGTGCTAGTGTGATCTTAGACCGTTCTTAATCTTTTAAGTTTTGGTCTCTTCATCTGTTCCTCCCATTAAAACATAAGCTCCATGAGGGCATAGGTTTTTTTTTTGGCAATTTTGCTCACTGATATTTCCCTAGCACCTGGGATAATCCCTCGGCCACATTAGGTGCCAGATAGGAATATGTTGAATGAATGAATGAATGAATAATGGGACATATTGGACTATTGTGATTGATGGATATAAGAAAACAGACAATGCTGTAAAGAATCTAATACAATGCTTTCATATGATAGACAATAAAAGGTAGCTACCATTTTAAGACATCATAAAATATTCATGCATATATGTTTGGTTGGTACCATTTGGAATTATTACATTTCAGAAAGTGGATAGGAAACAGAAAACTCATGTATTCCCTATTTATCAAGAAGGTAACTAAACTGAGTTGGCTTAGTTTACTAATTGGACTGGTAATGTACTTACAATAAAGCTTCATTTTATGTGACCAGTCCCATATTCTACATAACAAACAATGCTACTAAAAGATCTGTGTTTTTACACCTGAAACTTACTGAATTTCATTAACCAATGTCACCATAAAAAAAAATAAATTAAAAAAAAATCTATGTTTTTGCATAAAATCTTGTTTTTTAAAATAAAGGTTTAAGAGAGCTAGCTTGTCTTGTGCTAACAGTTAAAACAAAAGATCTATGTTTTAAATAGATCAATGGTTTAAACAGCCTGCGACTGTTTTCTGCTTCGTTGTTAGTAAAGAACCATAAGGAGGATTGAATTAGGATGTCTCTCCCAGGTGGGAGTCCCACAGCTTTTTAATCACAGAGCCTGGAAGATCTTCCCATGCCCTGTTCCCCACCCCACCCATCCTTCCTGTCTCAGTATAGTTGCCCTTCCATCCCTTGCCCTTCAAGGATGGTTGGATGTCCCTCCTTTTGCAGCCTGACTTAGCCCAGTTATGTTCTCTCAGTATTTTAACAGTTCATTTGTATGTGTGTCCACTACGAGGTTGTAAAAACCCTTGAAGGCAGAATCTGTGTTCTGGTTGCTAGTGTGTCTCTACTGCTTAGCACAGTGCCAGGCATATACTGGCATCTCCATACATTTTTCATTAAAGGAAAGAACTAAATAATAGATGTGAGGGAAGTGTAGGCAATGTTCCTTTTGCTGAAATGGAAAATGGAAGAATCTTAAATTGCTACTCTCTACTATAGGACAGTTCCAGACACTCAGCATTCCCCACGATTAGGCAGTCCCCGCTTCCACCCGTGGCAGGCATCCTCTGAGCCCTTGGGCTTTCTTGCATTACTCTCCTGACCTGACCTGCCTTCCACCTTCCACCTCCACCTTGCAGCTCCACTGGGTTCTAGTCCCATTTTGTCCATAAAATGTTTCAGATTACCCAGTCTAGAGTGTCCCAGTCTTACTATAAAATCCAGTTGAATTAATTTTATATATTTTTTTGAAATTTGGTAAAATTCTTCTAAAGTTTAACCAACATGAAGATTTGAATGTTAGAAAAAAAACCATAAAAGTACTAAAAGAAAATATGCATAAATATTTATATTGCCTTTCTAAGTATGACACTAATAGCTGAAAACCTAAAGGATAAAAGAATAGATACAAATACAAAAACTTAAGTGCTTCATATCCAGAAGTGACAAAAACAAAACCAAAAAACATACAAACAGAAAACAAACTGAGATGAATATTTGCAACAAATATTTATAGTATGGTTGATTTCCTCTAAAAAAAAAAAATGAACAAATCAATGAAAAAAATAGAAGAACAATCCACTAGAAAACATGGGTAAAAGACCTGGAAAGCAATTCAAAAAAAATAAGATATACAAATGGTAAATAAGCACATGAAAAAAAATCTAATCTATTAAATTAAGAAATGTAAATTAAAAAGATATACAATATTTTCCTCTCAAACTGGCAAATAGTTTTAAAAATGATCATTTTTTTACTGTTCACCATGGGCAGGCAGCTGCTCTTTCACTGTCAGCAGCAATATAAATAGATACAACTTTTCTGGAGGGCAATTTTGCAAAATGTATCAAAAGCCTGCAACATGTACCATCCTTTGACCCAAGGGATCCACTTCTACAAGTATATCTTAAGGATTAATGTACACAAATATTTAGCTAACAGGATTTACTTTTGGTTCTGCTTTCAATGGAAAACAGGAAAACTATCTCAAAGACCAACAGCAGGGGCTGTGGAATTTCAGTGGAACTTCTTGGTCCTGACATGATGTTACCAGTGAATACTTACTGATATGGAAAGATATTACTAACATACTGTTAGGTAAGAAGACAGGAAATAAAATAGGAATCTACTTTTGTTTTTAAGAAAAAGTCTGTGAACATAGAAATGATCTGGAAGAACATACAAGCTTTTAACCATGGTGTACTGTGGGCAAAATGACTATGAATAGGCCTGCAGGTGAGCAGTCATGGAGGGCTACGTAGGGGGTCGTAGGCCTCATTGGTTCTTCACTCACCTACATTACATCATTTTTTAATAAACATGTACTGATTTTATGATAAAGTCATTTTAAATTTAAAAAAATATGTTGCCCATATGATTCATTTGTTATACTTTTACTTTTCCAAATATGTGTGTGCTAACTTCTCAATTAGATTATAAGTGCCTTCTATAGCTTTCACAATACTTGGCAGTGCCCTATGCATAGTAGCTAATCACAAAGTATTGTGTGGGGACTGAAGGGGTATGTGTGCGTGTGTGTGTGTGTGTGTGTGTGTGTGTAGGAATGTCTATGTGTGTATGTAGAAGTATGTACAGTTGTATATGTGTATAAGGCAAA